AGCATCTTAGCTGTGGAGGGCAGTGTCACTGGCCCTCATATGTGGGATCCGAACCGGGGCCCTCTGGTGTCCCAAGCCAATTCTTAACCATCACGCCACTTGGCCGGCCCTTAATTTTTATATAGACAAAAAAAGAGGGAGGATGGGAAGGGGTAAGAATCTGAAATAAGACAGTAGCACCAGAAATGAAGAGTGCATTTAAATATTTCTCTAACACAGAAAAGGACAAGAACCATGATTTCACTCATAGATTGGATATGAAACTGAAAGCAACAAATCAACAAACAAAACAAACTCACGGACACAGACAACAGAAGGGTGGTTACCAGAGGCGAAGTGGGTGGGGGAGGACATAGAGGGTAAAGGGGATGACGGAGGGAGACTAAACTTCGAGTGGTGACTACAAAATGCAATGTGTGGGTCTGTTTCTGGACTTGTTTCTTTTGCTCCATCCTTGTGCCAAAAGCACATACTTAATTGCTGTGGCCTTCTACAAGTCTTGTTATCTAATAGTGTATGTCCTACAAATGTACTGTTCTTCAAGGTTGCCTTGGCTAGTCTAGCTTCTTTGCATTTTAATATAAATTTTGAGTTTCAGTGAAGAGCAGCTGTACATCTTTTGTCCAGTGTATTCCTAGGTGCTTGATGTTTCTGACACTGTTGTATTAATAAGTGGTATCATTTAAACATATAAATATTTACTTTCCAAGTACTTACTGCTACTATTATATATAGAAATGGGTAAGAGCATGGACACTCTACCAAAGATACATGGATGGTAAATAAACATGTGAAAAGATGCTCAACATTACTTGTCATTAGGGAAAAGCAAAGTAAACCCACATGAGATGCCACCTCACACCAATTAGAGTAGCTAAACCTCACTTCTAGGTCTTTACCCAAGAAAGATGAAAACATGTGTCCACACAAAGGTCCAAAATAGCTCCAAACTAGAAGCAACCCCAAAGCAAACCAGATGAATGAAAAAAATGTAGATCCATATAATGGAATACAATTGAGAAAAAGGGACCTACATGGATGCATCTCAAAATAATTATCCTCAGCATAAGAAACCAGATCTAAACCAACAAATAAAGAGGCCATGCTGTGATGTCATTTCTATGAAAAGAGAAAATTCAAACGAGTCTATAGCGACAGAAGTGGATGAACATGTGGGGGGGGGCTGCAGACAAGCACGGAGGAACTGGGAGTGACGAGCACATCCCCTCGCTTGTGCTGATGGTTTCATGAGTATATATGACCGTCAAACTTATCAT